AAGTGTTCCAAGCTTCATGGTCAAAGGTGAGTGGAAGGGCCTCAAAAATCAAGGTCAAAGCTTAAACATCAAGCTCCTCTAATGGTGGCTAGGGTTTTTGGTGAGGGAGGAAATGAAACAATGAGATGCAATGTGAATGGAGGAATTAGATCCTCCACTCACTATGTGATCTTACACCATGGTCAACACATACAAGTCTTAGTCAATTGCATAAAAATCCCTCTTTAAAACCATAATCCCAAAGTAACCCAAAAATAATTGCAAGACTTAATTTAGAGCATACACTTGTCATTCATCCAAGCATCCATTGTGGGCTTAATCCTAAGTTTACACTTGTCAACTATCCAAGCCAACAAGTGCACCTATCTTAGGTCAACAAGTGGTTTAATCTCCACCCTCCACATGTCATCATCCAAGGCATTAAAGTGTCCCCACACAAATGCCAACAAGTGGACCAATGAGAATGTGATACTTGTCACACTTTTCAAAAATTATAAAAAAGTCATTTTTGAAAATATCTTTCAAATTAAATTACAAAATGGTCCCTAAGACGAAAAATAATTATTTTACATAATTACAATAAAACCCCACAAGTTAAGACTATTACAAAAAAAGTTATGCATTCATACCTTTTACAAGAAAAGTAAACACTTAGCATACTTTTATAAGAAAATAGAAATACACATTTGTAAGAAATCATATATCATGAGTGCATGCAAAAATGGAAGCAAAACCGAACATGAAAAGCGAGGTTGTGCCAACAAAGTGACAAACGGGAAAAAGACAAAAAGTGAATAGTGTCGAAAAATGAAAAATGTGAAAATGACTTGATCCTTAAAGGATTTTGTCAATCCAAAAGAAAGAGACTCATAAACCATTTTCGAGCACTCGAAACGACACTAAGCGACGAGAAACTGAACTCAGACAAGAAATTTTAACGAAAAAAATTCATCCGTGAAATTCTAAGATGGACGAAAAAAATTCATCCGTGAAAAAATTCATGACTTGACCGGGTCATTACAAGTCCTATGAACATGGCTAAGATATGCGAAAGAGAATAGCCAAAATGTCACCTGGATATCAAAGCAAATTAGATGAATATCAGTCGGCCCAGGAGCATCTCCATATACAAAATTAACCACTATCAAAGAATCACATTCAAACCAAACATTAAGATATGAAAATGAGAGAGCCCAAAGAACCGCTTTTCTAAGATTGATAGCTTCTGCAACTGTGGCACTAGCGGCAGGGAAAGGAGAAAAAATCACCACCTGTAAAATATGGCCCATAGCATTACGGAAGACAGCACTACCACCCCCCATCTGGGAAGAAGTGAGAAAAGACACATCAACATTACATTTAACCAAATCCACCCTCGGAGGCAGCCAACGAGAAGGAGACGAAGAGAATTGGGGAAATTTAGAAACAGAGGATTTGGAACAAAGAATGGAAGAAATGGCAGATGAGACCACTTTATACTCCCAGAACTGAGAACACGCCACATCAACAACTTGAGAGGAATCCCACCACTCATCATCATACACACACTTATTCCGAGCTTTCCAAATACCCCAACAACAACAACTTGCCAAACCCAGAAAATTGCTTTCAAGCATTTATTTTATTTATTGATACTTGTTTGAAAATAAATATTATAATTTGTGTCGCTCAAAATTCATAATAATAATAATAATAAAATTCAGTTTAAACCTTTTTATTCTAACTTTTAAAGTCCAAATTTTGTAAACTCTGTCATATTCTAAGAGATAAAAAAATAATCCATTTACATGCTAGTGGAAATATTTGATGTATTAAGATCACTAATTAAGAATTGTAGTTGCAAAATTATGGCTCAATGTGTTTGTTGCAAAAATAAAATAAAATAAATAAATAAATTCCATTTACATGTGTAAACTCAGTCATGGCATCATATGAGTTAAAGAGATAAAAATAATAACCAAAAATAAATAAATAATATTAATATCTCTGTATGTTTAATTTTGTGATTATTGATTAATTCATCACATAGTAGGTTAAAGTCCAATCTTACACATGTATTTCTCAAAAGACATCATTTCATTAGATATTAAAATCTTTCACAAAATATGTTTGAGTTGTTTAGAGAATCTAATTTTTTTTATTGTAATGAATTTTTTTTATGACAATAGTTGCATACTCATCGATTTTTTTTATAATTTTTTTTTTTATTTAGTAGGTGATTTTTACTAATCGATTAATGAGGTCCAATCACAAAATTGATAGAGAAGGAAATTAAGTTTTTCTAAAAATAAATTCAGTCACCTGTATTTTCTTTATTTATTATTTTTCTCATTTTGTAATTACAAACAATGTGTACATTTGTGATGGGAAAAACATCAGCCCTTAGAGATCACATAATCCCTGGCAATTATTGTCATTTTATTTAGGACAAATTTCACGAAATCCCTAATACTATCACTTTTTGTATCAAATACCCCCAACCTACTTTATAAAACCCCTAACATTATGAAAATTGATCACATTGCACCATGTCTGTGATAAAAGGACGAAACTACCTTTCTGAGATACCAAATCAATTAAAAAAGCCAAAATAAATATTTTACCAATTGCTAAAATACCCTTAGTGACATTTAAGTCACCAAAGCACAAAACGACCGCGTTTTGTGTGTTGATGCAGATAGAGCAATATATGTATAGAGAGAATAGTTTTAGAGAGAGAAAGTGAAGGTTGTGTGATGACTTCGTCGGCCAAGGAGGTGAAGGAGATGAGCCGAGATTGATGGAGAATTGGCTGAGGCAGCAGCGTATGTGGGCTTTGGTGGTGTTGACAATGCACAGAGAGCAGCGGCAGAGGGTGGTGGTGAGAGCGATGTCAGAGGGTTGTGCCGGCGGTGAGGATGTTGTGATGTATGTGGTGTGATGATGAAGTTGAGAACACCGACAGAGAGGCGGTAGAGAGCGACGTCAAAGGATTTCTGGCGACGACAATCAGAGATGACGAGACGGTTCACGGCAGAGAGCATGGAACAATGGTGAGCTCGGCTGTTGGTGTGGCTAGTTCAGCCGTGGATGACTCGCCCTTGAATGGCTCTGGCTGACTGTGATCTGATCGACAGTGGCGATGGCAGGGAGCTGGGCACGGTGATGGCTGGCGTGACTGGGTCGGATGAAGGTCAATTTTGAAGATGGGTTTCAGTTCTGAAGCTTGGAGTACCGCTCCACAGGGTTTAGCATTGCTGATTTTGGTGGTGGGTGCAACGCAATCAACGACGAGGACGGCTTGCAGCTATCCGGTATATAGAGTTGTCGGTAGTTAGAAATAGAGATGAGTGCCATCAAGAAGAGGTAGAGCTGCCGCCTTCCGGTGCAAATTTACATCTAAAGAGAAACCTCCGATCAACTACAGGTAACCAAAGTGACGTTAAACAAACCAACAGTGATTGATCCGACGTCGAGTATGTTGAAAGTAGCGCCGTTTGGTGTAGGAGGTATAGTTGCAGGTTCTTCAGACAAAGGCCCGTTGATTAAGGAAGGACTTCTCGTAGCTGGAGATGACTCAAGAGGCGGTCGTTTTGTGCTTTGGTGACTTAAATGTCACCAAGGGTATTTTAATAATTGGTAAAATACATATTTTGGCTTTTAAAATTGATTTGGTATTTCAGAAGGGTAGTTTCGTCCTTTTATCACAGACATGGTGCAATGTGATCAATTTTCATGGTGTTGGGGGTTTTATAAAGTAGGTTGGGGGTATTTGATACAAAAAGTGATAGTATTAGGGGTTTCATGAAATTTGCCCTTTTATTTATTATATTGATAAGAGTGAATTTACAAATTTATTCTTACTCAAAAACAAAATAGTAGTGAGTAGTATGTGTGCTTGTTTAATACTACTTCCGTCCCACATTAGAGGTCCATTTTTAGAAATGGGAGTTTTTAAGGAGACATGCATTTAATGCATTGTCCCCTTTTAAAATAACGAATTTGTCCCTTCTAATTTAAATATATATAATTACAAAGTTTGAAATTTTTTAAAAAGATAAAGGACAATGATGGAAATATAGAATTTATATACTTTGACTTTTTAAAGAGGACAACTAATTTTGGACGTGTAAAAAGAGAAAAATGAACTACTAATATGGGACGGATGGAGTAAAAAAGATAATTTAGAAATATTACAAAAAATAATACATTTATTTTTAAAATGAGACATATATTTTGAGACATCTCAAAATAAAAACATGGATACAAGTTTTGAGAAGGAGATATACATTTTATTAGTATTTTTAATTCTCACCTGTTAAATGACAAATTTACCCTTGCAACCTTGGTGTGAAATTGAGGAAACTGGAAGGCTGTGACTCAAGTCAGTCAACTATGAACCACATGTTCGGTGGCTGCTATTAAAGCGTGTTTGTGTAAAGAAAATGATATTTTTGGTCATAAATTCCAAAAGCTCCAATTAGTTTAAGGACAATGCTTAGCTACTCACCAGTAAGTAGCTTCACCCTATTAACCTCTTTTGTGTCCCAATAAGAAAATAACACATCAACTTTAATAACAAAATAATAAAAAAGTGAAAAGAAAACCGGATCAATCCGTTTTAATTGGGTAATCATCATTTCTCCTTTCTTTTTATTTTTCATGGCTTCCCAAACCCATACCCTCCTCTCTCCACTAGAGAGTCATCGGATTGACTTCTTTTTTCATTCTTCTTCTTCTCACTTCCATGGACATCATCAATCAATGAGCAAGTATTGATTTGACATTGATTTTGAACTTTACTTGTTCGATTTGCGCTTGATTTCTATGATTTAGTTTAATGTCTTGATTTTGTTCTGATTTAAGTCTCAGATTTGTTAGTTTTGACTTGAATACTCTCCGTGAATTATGAATTGCTAATACGGTTATGTGAATTGAAATTGGTTGATGTTGCACCAGATGATGTGTTTGATACATTTTTTGCAAGAAGAAGCATCGACATGAACTAGGATGAAAAAGCAATGTATCTGAGAATGGACATGCCTGGTCTCAGCAATAAAAACGTGAAGATATCAATGGAGATGGAGAGTCTGAGCATCAAAGGAAAGTGCGGGAAGGATTCGATGGAAGACGAAAAGTATGGGCCCGACTACCCCAACAGGCTTTATCACCCTTCTAGTTTTCGTCTCCCTTCCAATATCTATAACATTGAACACATGCAAGCTAAGATGAAGAATGGAGTTTCGAAAGTTGAGATTCCAAAGTGCCCAAACACGATAACAAGGAGATCGAGAAAGGATGTGGTTCAGGTTAATGTCGATTGATTCAGGAAGCGAGAATGGAAACGGGTTGATCCGGATTTTTTTTCACTTTTTATTATTTTTTTTATTAAAACTAATGTGTTATTTTTTTTATTGGGACACATAAGAGGTCAGTAAAGTGAAACTACTCACCGATGAGTAGCTAAGCAGTGTCCTAAGTTATATATACATTTCTTTCACATTGAATTATTCAAATATTGTCTTCTAGGTGTAATCTTAAAAATGACCACCCTAAAAGCATTACCAGTTTGTTTGGATGTAAATTAATATACGAATAAAAATAAGTAATAAAATTTAACAAAAATATTTTACCCATAAATTTTTAACAAATTATTTTATACGTCCAACCCGATGGATTGGTCCTTAACTTCAATTTAGACTTTTATCAAACACACACAAAAACAAAAACAAAAACAAAATTAACCTTAAAAATATATATTTATAAAAAAAAATATTTTACATTAAAATAACAAGATTGAGTAATTCAAAGTCGAACTAGAATCCACCTACCTCATAATTTGTCTTTGGAGCAATCATGGTCACATGGACTTGGTTCAAATTTGACTACAAATAATAGACTTGGCTTATTCAAGCCTTCAAACACGCCAATGTCGAGTCAATGCATATGAACTATCTTTGGTCAAAACAATTGAAAGGCAAGCATATTTGATTTAGCATCTTTGCTTTATTAATTTTTTAAAGCAATTTGAACTTTCCTTTATAAGGTGACTTTCATTAACCCGTAAGGTAATACTACTGACCATTCAAGTAAAATTTGGTAGTTTAATATATATTCGACCCAGCAATATGAAAAGTAAAATGTGGTTTTAACAAGTACTTTATTTGTCTCATAATAAGTATTTAGGTAGTAATTTTTTTTTATTTTTTTATTTGGTTGTCCTAAAATAGTTATTTTATATTAAAAAATTAAAATACTATTTTTAGTATCCCTACATGTGCTCCAATTCCGAATTCATACACAGTCTGCAATTACAAAATTAGAAAATTAATAAATAAGGAAAATAATTTTTTTTTTATTCAGTGATTTTTTATTTGCAGATTATGTGTACATTTGTAATCGGACCATGTTAGCAATCAGTAAAGATACCATGCTCACTCATGAGTAAGTAAGTATTGTTAATAGAAAAAATATTAAAAACTACTTTTTTTTTTTTTTAAGTAAAGTTCCAAAAAGGCAGATTCTCATTTTTGACAAGATAAAAGAAAATTGAAAATTGCAGTATTATTAAACAGGTTCTTACTAACTCAACATTCCCAATCTACTCTCTTACATCTGCAAAAAAAAATAAAAATAAAATAATAACAAATAAATAAATCATAGTACTTGAAATTTCCTTCTTTCATTGGATTCAGAATCTGATTTTCTATATCCCACACTTTGATGGTGAAAGTGAAAGTACCATTTGTCTTCTAAGAAAATTAGTTTTCATTGACAAAATAAATGTTCATTTCTCCTTTTTGAGTTATTTCAAAATAAATGTTATTTTGTAATTTTAATATACAAAATTGAAACTTTCAAAAATTATTCTAAGTTTTAATTGAAAACTTTTTAAAGTTAATAGTCTTTAGGTAGTTAGTTTTAATTAAAAATTAAATGGTCGGTTAAAGAGTTGGAATTGCAAATTAAAGGTACAATTTGAGCAAAATCCCATATTTGGCTGTACTTGGACTGAATATATAAAATCAACCTAGAATATATAAAATCACTTGTAAATTACACATATTATTAAGGGTTATGTGTTTATGTCCTTTTGTAAGAATCTAATTTAGAATGTCCGAATTTACAATTTAGATACCTCTCATCTATTATACAACTATACAAGGTTCGAATTTACCATTCATCTACTGAGCCACGCTTACGGGTCATCCAACTACACAATGTTCGAACTATATATTCATAAATTATAATATTATGCAACTGGAATCAAATCAGAATCTAACTCAACTAGCTTTAATAGTGGTTTTGCAATGGAGGTTAGGTTAAGGGTTGTTGTTTTTGTCTTTTTTTTTTTTTTTTTTTTTTTTTTTATCTTGCGTTGACGCGGACTTAACTCTCAATAATTTCGTGGACTTTTGAGAAAGACCGTCTCCACGTTAAAAGCACCCACTCACGAGCAGTTGAAAACACTATATAAATCAGTTCACACATTGACACAGATATACAGAGAGTGAGGCATTTCAAGAGAGACAAGTAGCCCCTCCTTACTGTCTTCAGCTTCTTGGTACGTAGGGCTCTCTTTTAAGTGCTTGAAACCACCTCTGAGACTTCTCTTAATCAAATCAGAGTAAACAACAAATCAAATCCACTGTAAGTCTCTCGAACTCTCTCCACAAATATATATATATATATATATATATATATATATATATATATATATATATGTAACACCTGGTTACTCACTATGCATATATATGGGATATTTGGGTAATTACTTCAATGGGTTTGCCTTAAACAGGAAGATGTTTCGAAGCAAAGCACTAAGTTGGCTCTCACAGTCACAGCAAGCAACGCCTTCAATGTCACCAATAAGCTTCAAGGGACTACGTGCTCAAATCAATCCATTGCCTCTCACAACATCGCCTCTAACTCTACCAATAAACTCTACGAGAGGTGGTGCTCAGATAGCTAATTCATCAACTCTCACAGCAACGCCTCCAATAACGACACCAATAAACTCTGGAGGAGGTGGTCAAACCAACTCATCCGCTCTCAAAGCAAAGCCCCCAACGCCACCCATAAACTCTGGGGGAGGCGGTCAAACCAACTCATTTGCTCCCAAAGCAAAGCCTCCAACACCACCTGCAAACCCTGGGAGAGGTGGTAAAACCAATTAATCAGATCTCACAACAAATAAATTTATAGGGAGGTAATCAAACCAACTCATAAAACACGTTAGTAGAGGTATATGATGTATTAAAACCAATAAGAATTATAAATTGATGTACCTTCTGCACTTCTTAAAGTGAATGGTGATAATTTAAATATTTGTAATGTTAAGTAATTGTGTGAGTTTGTTGTCAAAAAATAAAAAAATAATTTCAAGAACTTATATTAATTATTAGTGCGTTTTAGAGAGAGATTGAATTTATGGCGTATGACATCTTTTAATATATATAGACGTGAATTTACTTCGGTTGTGTATTAAGCATTTAATTGCCCCCGTTATTTTTTCAATTGCTGTCTTTAACGCCTCTAAGTTCAAGCGCAGTGAATATAACTTATTTCTAATTTCTTTCTTGGCCAAGTAGTGCACTAAAGTCTAAAACTCTATCTACTTTTAACAAACTTATCCTTTCAAATGCCCAATATACCCCTTATATATATATATATATATATATATATATATACAGGTTTCTCGTGAATCGACACACCTAATAAAGCATTACGTACTAGAGCGTGAATTTGTCTCTATTTCATCACTTTTTACCATATATATATATATATATATATATATAAAGGTTTCTCGTGAATCGACACACCTAATAAAGCATTACGTACTAGAGCGTGAATTTGTCTCTATTTCATCACTTTTTACTAGTGGTATTGAACTAAATGAAAAATGACAACAATGACAGCCATTGTATGAAAACCCACCACCACAATCACAGTCAAGATGCAAGTAACTCAGGTAAGGCCCACTTGAGTTCATTCAACAAAGGTAGGAGATTGTATCATTTATTGGTAACAGAATAAGGAAATACTAGGAATATATATACTTCTTAAAGCATAGTGTCACAGTTAGACATGTAAATGGGGGATTCAAACCAAATAAGTGTTGATTGGATCCGAATATGATAAAGATATACTCAATTTGATAATTAGACGAATATTTTGTGAATAAATTTATATCCGATTTATTAATAAAAGAATATCTGATCCGATTCGATAATTCGGTCCGATCCGATATGGGTGAATGTGTACTTTTTATTTATTTATTTATTTTTATTTTTATTTGTAAAAAAAAATTAATGTCAAAAGAGAATAAATTAAATAAATAGATAACGATAAATAAAATATAAGAAAAAGAAAATTAAATCTTTTACTCATTGTTAAAGAATAAAAACTTGGGAATAAGAAAAAATAGAAAAAGTAAAGGAGAGGAGAAAATAATGATAAGAATTTTTGATAATATAAAAAATATTATATATCATAAAATTATATTTATATGTTTTCATATATTATTTCGGATTGTTATCGGATTGGATTTACCATAATTTATATCAAATTTATTTAACTAATGAATTATTGGATTCAAATAATTAACGACTTATCGGATCAAATCTTCAATCCATATATATTTGAGTTATCGGATCTGATTTGAATCGAATTCGAATCAAAATTCAATCCATTAACAGATCTAATCACAGCCAACTAAAAAACATATTTCCTTTTTAGCCTTAATAGTCTCTTCCTACTGAGAAGTCATTGTGAAGCCATCCCGAAAGATAAAAAGACAAAATCACCATATCTTTCTTCGAAAGATTACTTTTCATATATAGGGTAGGCAATCGCTTGTAAAACATCATTCAATTCAACGCAAATGGTAAATGGTTACGGAATTTGGATCTGCTCTTATGCACCGGATGAGGAAAGGTGGAGAGTGTCTAGTGCACCAAATTTTTTTTTTTCAAATTTCATCAATTTCAATTTCAAAACTCCAATTTCATGCAGCCAAACACACCATAAGGAGAAATTTTTTTGCTCCGTTTGTTTGGACGTCAAATATTCTTTTTGGAAAATATTTTTCCTTTTCAGGTAAAATATTTTTTAATTTTTATTTTTTTTCTTCGTAAATATTTTATGACAACCAAATACCAAAAAATAAAAAAATATTTTCTAAAAAATATTTTACATCCAAACAAATGGAACTCATGTTTAATAAATTGTTTTCTTTTTCCTTATTATTCAACCTTTTTTTTTTTTTTTTAATTTTTTACTTTATCAGTTTATCTTGCTATGTGCATAAAAGACAATATCCAAT